GGGAGAGTATATATGGGAGACTGAACAAAGACAGAACTAATGAGCTGATTGGGAGCAGGTGTGAACAGAGGATTCTAGAAGGAGCTAGGGGAAAAGGAGACCAACACAAAAGGGCAACAAAGAAAAACCTAAGAACTCAAATATATCCAGAAATAAACACAAAATAGGAATTAAACCAATAAAGCTAAAAAACAAAGAAAAATATGGATCAAAGTGAAACTGAAAACTCAAAAGAAAACTTAATTAGAACCAAGACAGTGACACTTGAACTCATCATCTTCTGCTTGACGTGTGACTGGGTCACAGCAGAGATGCTAAAACTTCCCTTTCCAAACACCAACTTCATATACTTGTAACTCTTTTGGTCATGGCCCAAATGTTAACGACAAAACCTTTATTTTTTGGCCAGTTTGTTTGAGCCTGTTTGCATAATCTTGACCCTTTTGGGATTACAAAAATGATCAGCTATCGATCCAAACTATTGCCTGTATTTCTAGTTTTGAATGACCAAAATGTATCATTAAAATTATGCGTCATACCTTTTTGTATGGCTGAAGAAGTGAAACTAAAAAGGTATACTAATATAGTGATACACTAATAAAAATAGCATTTAAAGGTACACTATGCAACCGGTGTTGATTTTCCAGTGAGGCTCCCTCCAGAGGGCGAAAATAAAAAGTGCACTGTCGTAAATATGCTCAGCTGTTCTCCTGGTTTCTCCGTCAAGCCAGGCGCGGTTGTTTTGAGCTTAGCAGCGAATGACTAACGCTGCGTTCACACTGGACGTAGCTGGCGCGACAGAAGCAGCGAGTTTACATGCAAAGTCAATGGTTGACGCGCGTCAAGGCGTTGCAAAAGGTCCCGCGGCGCGTTTTAAGCACCAGGCGCAGCACGTCTGAGCAGCTGAAGCAGCGCGTCGGGTGCGTTTAACGCAGGGAGAGAGACACAGCGCTGATGATCACTCCTCTTAAACAGTTTATTGACGCCTAAATTAACTGAAAATGCAGAAATCTGCCGGCAGAATATGCAGTTTGGATTATTTAGATGAAAAACACCTACCAGCTGCCGCGGTGAACCGCTGCTGATGAAGGGATCCATACTGTCGGCGCACCGCTGGTATGTGGGGGTCTGAGCGGCTCCGACAGAAAAAATATTGAAGGCAGGATAATAATCTGAATGAACTGACTGCACTGATTACGTTTTCAGGTGTATTTTCTCACTTAAACACATATTAAAACTACTTTATTCCCACTGATCACAGCAAATATAGCTGCAAGGCAGAGAAAGGATAGTGAAGCTCCGCCCAACGCGCCTCAGACACACTTTTGCACCAGAGCAGCAAAGCTGCTTCAGCCACGCGTCAGAACTAACTGGTACAAGCAGCAAAAAGGAAGCAACAGACGCGATTTTGCTGCTTTTGCTGCGTGAACGTAGCATAACTGCACAAAGATTGCCACTGTGCTAGCAACGAGAATGCTTTTAACTGGGGGCGTGTAGCAGTTCTCGCCGTAAAGCAAGACTGACTCTCACGAGACTTCTGAGCCTGTGGGTGCGGGTCGGTGCTCCTGCAGTTGCAAGTGCAGTATTTCCCCCACAGACCACCAGGGCGGCCGAGAATACCTTTGTTCAACCTGAAATGACTCATTTAGTCATCCATAACGTTATGTAACACATTAATTAACTGAAAAATGTTGCATAGTGTCCCTTTAAGGAAGTACAATACTGAAAACATCATGAAAATATATTTAGAGGGTAAAAGGTGGAGAAATCTAGAAGGTCACCCTGTGTGTAACATCTGGTTTTATGGATCTCCATCTGAAACTAAAAAAAACCTTTTAGTTCATAAAAGTTGTGATTGCTTCACTAGTCCTACTACAGCTGTGGGGACGACTCAGAGATACCCCCCCTTTTCAGCCTGGGGTGACAGGGGGAGGGGGCGGTCTTTTCGGGGTAGGGTTGTTTCTCCTTTAATAACTCAGGTTGGGTTATTGACTTCTTACCTGCCACTAAAGCTGAGGGGGTTTGTGGCTTTAACTCAGCTGGTTCCACTTAGCCCTGTGAGGGGGGGGGTGGGGGGCTACAGGGTGCTGTGGTAACTGTGGTTTGGCTTCAAGTCTGTATTATTGGTAAAGGACGCCCCCTGGTGTTTAAAGTTCAAAATGAACTTAATCTCTCAGTTCCTCTGAAGCAGTCATTTCTTATTCGTATGTTAAAGTAGCTCAAACTTTACTAGAAGATTATCTAAATAATTTGATTGATTAAATCATGAATTAAACCTCCAGATGAGGAAAATGTGTTAATCACAGCTATACCAAAGGCCAGCTCTTCACTGTGTTCTGAAGTTCCTTTTTATTTTATTTTTTTGTTTGTTTTTGGTCTCTTATACAGCTTTTAACAGGTTTGCTGATTTTGTTGGTGGATATTACAAGAGCCGCCTCTCTTGTCTTTGATTTTTACATTGCAGGGGATTCCTCCCAGTTGGAGGTGAAAGGGAAAGATGTGCACATCTTGAGGCTGGAGCTTTTTTAAGACTTTAGTTATGTCCAGATTTGCTCCAAGTAATAGAAGTTAATTTAGATGTTAGTGATAAGACGGGGGTGGACCAACATTTATTGCACATCATGATGCTGCTTCTTCTTTTCTCCAATAAACGTAACACTGATTGTTATGACCTCAGGATATGTTTCACCGGGGATGGTAACACTTAAACTTCTTCAGCATCTTCAGAAGAACAGCTCTTCCAAGCATCATTCTTTGAAACTATACAATTATTCAACAGGTTCCTAAATACATAGAAATGTATGTCTGGCTGGATGGTAGTCTCTCATTTTAACAGTACATTAATTGGTTACAGATTTAAATAACTCAAACATAACGTGTTCATCTTTGACTTCTTTTCTGCCAAACTCTGCTATGGTGACATCACAACTCTGACATCACTTCACTGCAGAAATTCAATGTTATGAATGTTTTATAATGAAACGGTCTTAACATTCACATTACTGCTACCTTTAATGCTCTATGGTAAACTGGTAATCCTTACATAACAAAAGCCAAATCCACTGGTATGCGCTTATTTATAAATGTCTAATAGAAATGTTTCCTCCCTCTCTTTGTGACGTATTATAAGCTTCTATGACTAAAACACGCTCCACCCGACTCATTATGCTGCTGTTCCTAAATTAGAACGAAAGCATGAATGACTAACCATCAAAAAGCACTAAAGCAGAACTCTAATGGTCAGAAATTTTAAAATTGTGTTAATTTTTCTAGTGAATATGTGGCCTGAAACCTGCACACATATGGCTTAATATTTAGTTTTTAATTTCTTTATATGTAATATAGCACAGTATTATTTTGATAGAATTTTTTTTTTTTTTTTTATCCAGAACTGTATTTTGTTTGTAATGATGCATTGCTTGATTTTCTTTTTGAATCTTTTTTAAATATCTCTCCTTTGAAAATAAAGGTTAATAAAACAGTGAGGACCCAGTGCTTTAGATCAGAGGTGCCCAAACTTTTCATATTTTCAAAGAAATGGCTCCCATGTTGATTTCTTTTATTTTATATATATATATATATATATATATATATATATATATATATATATATATATATATATATATATATATATATATATATATACATGTATATAATTTTTTTTTTTCAGCGTTTTTATTGTCATTACACTGTCACAAGTACAGCGCCTCAAAATTCACTCTCTGCATTTAACCTATCCTCATGAGGAGCACTGGGCTGCCATTGTGAGCGTCAAGGGAGCAGTGTGGGGTTAAGGGTCTTTGCTCAGGGACCCACAGTGGCAGTCTGTGGGAGTGAGTTTTCAACTCCCAACCCCATTTACACAAAGGGAAAACGCTGATATTGCCCTGCGGTTGGCTTCTCATTTACACCAAAACCCAGTTTTTATCACAGAAAACGATTATTTCTAAAACCTCCGGCCAAAGTGGAGATTTCTGATAGCGCCGGTTATGTGCTGCCGTGTCAGCAGGGATAAACAGCGTTTTAGCTTCTTAAATGTCACATTATGCACCAGAAAATACTTTAGGTCATGCGAGCGCCTGATGTTTTCAGTTTCTGGCATACAGTAATTATTAGTGTTGCGCCAATGCCATTTCTTGGCCCCGATACTGATACCCGATACCTGGCTGTGCAGTATCGACCGATACTGATACCATCTGTTAGAAATTGATGTGTGTGTGTTTATATGAAGAACTGCATACTACTTGGATGTCAAATAATGGCTTTGTCAAGCTGCTGCCTACCTTTGTGAAGCAGGAAAAAGATTAATACAAAGTGAATCCAGTAGAACTTTTTATTGCCTACCTGGGATGGGTGACAATATTTGAATAAACTTTTGCAACACTAATAGTTATAATGGAGCGTATTTATGCGAGTTGATGTAAATGACAAGTTTTTTTTTAAAAACATGTTGTGTGCACTGCACAATGTTATTATTGAAAGCGGACGGGGAAAATATTTGTTTCCCTAGATATGTGTAAACGTGGCCTCATGACTCCAAGATCTATGCCCTAACCACTAGGCCACCACTCCCTTATGACCCAAACTATTGGTTGAGTTTACAAACATTTCTGCTGTACGTTTAGGATTTATTTTAAATCTTTTTATTGTTTAGTTTAATTTCTCCAGTGGATTTTAAGACCCCATACTGGTAGATCAAGGACTTTCCTTAAGTCATCCTGCAGTCAGGAAATAGTTCATCCTGTGATTTGGCCCTCCTGTCCCAGTGTGTTTAGGTTTCTGTCTATGGAGCGTAGCGTGGGAAAACACCCCCATCGTTTCCTGGCTGTAGGAAACGACACAGGAAAAGGAACGATCCCCTCTCTTTGTTCCACGTTGGTCCGGCCCAGCTAAGCGTCTGTTGTGTTATGATCTTTGAGTGATGCCTTCGGTTGGTTTACCGACGGTTGTCCTCCTCCTTTCCTCCGTCAGTCTAAGCTTCTCGTTCTGTCCATTTCCAGCTGGTTGACACCTTTGCTCTGGAGATCGGGGAGCTGAAGAAGGAGATGGTGCAGACGGCTCCAGCTTTGGACAAGGATCCTGTGGAGTTAGAAGGGTAGGACTGTTTCTATATTTTGCACGTCCGCAGCTGTTTTAATAATTTCCTTTTAAATTCTAATAACATAGGATGTGTTATATTTAATTTAGTTAGTTTATATGATGAAAATAAAAAGTAAAGTATAAATCCCAAACCGTAATCAGACTGACAGAATTTTAATGAAAGAGGAAATACAGTAATGATAAATAGCCTTTCTGTTGTAGATGGCAGGAACCTCTCTGTACCCAAAGATAATTTAGTTAACTAGAGAGAATAAGAAACAAACATAAACTATACCACCTTTATTTACTAAGCACTTAAAAATAATGAGGGTAAAAAAAAAATGCTGATAATAACCGTAAAATTAGATAAGTGAAAACAGATTAGATAAAATGGACAAAACATTGTTATTTAAACAATTAAAATATAAAAAAATCCATAGAAAAGAAGTTATTGTTTCCTGTTTCTAAATGTATTCCTTTAAAAAATATAAAGTCTGACCTGAGTTAAGTGAAAGATGGTTGAATTTGATTTTGATTTATTTGTTAATTTTAAAACTGATCTAGAGTTGAACAAAGAAAAGCCAAAAAAAAAAATGGTTTTGGACTCTCACTCTACCTTCACTTTGAATCCTGCGCAAATGCTGTCAGACAGAAGAAACATAAAGCGGTTCAACAGGTTTTCATATGGATGGAAAATTGTTAAAAGTGTTAACTCCTCCCTGACCCTGTATATGTGTATAAAAGGGAGATTAAAAACCTGAGATTATATATATATATATATATATATATATATATATATATATATATATATATATATATATATATATATATATATATATATATATATATATATATATATATATATATATATATATATATATATATATATATATATATATATATAATGAGTCAAGATAACCGTAATTTAAAATAATAGCCTGGTTTATTATCATCTAACTGTCATTATTTAGCTTTATTTGCTGTAAAATAAAGGTTCCTGAATTTGATTTTTCTTTTTTTGCATAAATTGCTGCCTATTATCTGAGATAAAGATCATAAGCAAAATAACAAATCAACTTCCTCCCCAGCGTAAATAGATTAGGCCTACCCATAGAGATGAAGCTCTGCCATCTGGTTAAATCAGACTAAACAGTCGCTTTTTATTATTGAAAGGAGTCACCTTAAGTGGTTCATCTGATCAGGATGCCTCTTATCAACAATTTCTGGGCACATCCATTAGGGATGAAGTAGAGTAACTATTTGCTATTTACACCATGTGGCCTGTCAGCGTCCAGTCCCCCAAAATGTCCGATATAAAAGTGGGCCAACAGGTCAACCTTGTGGAACCCCATTATTAACTATGTGGGTTAAAAAAGATGATCTAACAAAGTCTTACAGCCTTAGATATAGACAAAAAGTTTTTTTTGTTCATCAGGTTCTTTTAGAATATTAATATACTCTTCAGAAGATTCACCTTAAGATAAAGACAATAATCCACCAGTGCAGTGAGACAGCTGCATATGGTAAGACTTCTAGAAATCATCATATATATTCTTAAAACAATAAGTGATTAGGATTGCACAGTATATCACAAATATATTTGATCACATTATCATTGTACACAATTCTAAAAAAGTAAAAAAAAAAACGGAAGAAGATGTCCCCCCCTTAGGAATGGGGATTTGACTCCGCATTCCTAAGGGGGAGTCAACAAGAGCTTTAGTGTTGGTTTAATGTCGTTTAAAACAAACCAGTGTTTTTGCACTGAAAATTTAATTTTCTTGAATTAAGTGCGTTTTCCTTTGATTTGAGCAGGAAAGTAGACAAGTTAAATATTAAAATAAGATGATTTACATTTAAAATAAAGAGAATGTAACTAAATGATTTTATTTCAAGTGCATAACATCATATTATCTAATTTTAATTGTAAATATACTCATTCCATTGTTGGATCAACTTATTTACCTGCTGTAAGGGCAAATAAACTTAAGAGTTTTTTACTCAGTTTAAAATGTGCCTTATAAAAATAGGAATGTCTGTCTAAAAAAAAATTCAATTGCAACATAAATTAAACATTTTGGGGGTTTTTTTGTGAATGACTAAGTAACACATGATTGAAATGTTGTGTAATAATTATTAAGGTTCCTCCTACTTTTCTGGGTGACAATAAGTTGAGAGTTTATTTCCGCTGATTTGCTGCACGCATGCAGGCACATGGATTTTAGTTTTTTTGAGAAAAGTTCTCACTTCTCCAAAGTTGTGATCTCTGTCTGCTTTGGAAACTTAACTTTGTTTGACTCCATCTATGCTGGAGGAGAAAACCTGATTTATTTAGTTTAGGTTAATTTAGTCAGTATCAGACGGGACGTTTGCTGACTGCGCTTTTTTACAGATGACATTCTTTCTTCTACTAGTTTGTTTGCAGTATTTTTTTCGTTTCTCCCAGCAGATGATACAGCTGTTTTGGGCTGGCTGTCTTTCCCTTTTTTTCAGGCTGCAGGGTGGTGCCTACCTGCAGCCCCCCCACTGCAGTGGGCTGGTGGGTGAGTGGGATTCTGGTTATGACTCCCTGCGGAGAAGGATGAGCGTGTTGGACCGGCTGACTGAAACTCATCAGGTGTGGCTGCTGCTTGCGGTCAGTGAAGACGAGGCGTCCTCCATTCTGCTCAAACAGCCTCCAGGGGTGAGAGGTCACTGGATCGGGTTGAATATTATGCAGGCGGGCTTCGTGGTTCATCGTGTTTTCTTTCAGGTGTTTCTGGTAAGAAAGTCGGCGGTTCTGCAGAAGAAGGTTCTGTCTGTGCGTTTGGATGAGGATCACTCAGAAAGTCCCATCAGCCACTTCAACATCCGAGAGAGTCAGTACGGTAAGTCAGACCTCTTTGTTCTTATAGATTTCAATGAAAGGGTTTCAGCTTTGGTGTTTTTTTTATATTTATTTCACTATTCACCTCATTTCAGACCGAGTCAGCCTCTCATGACGTTTCCTTTCCGCCTTTGCAGTTTGACTTCATGAATTCACCCTCAGGAAAGAGAAATGAAAGTGTGTCCGCAGGCTGTTTGGTCAACACGGATTCACTCATAGTAGCACTAGAGTTATTTATTAGTGTCTGAATGAAATAATTAGAATAAAGAAATAAAGAATTAGGAAGATCTGATTGACTTTTAAGATGCCTTCCTCTAGAATATTATTACGGTACATTTATACATTTTTAAAGCTTAGAAAGGTGACTAGTTTAGACAGTAATGCTTTTATTTGAAGGGTCATGACATTGAAAACTTGCACTGCTGCGGCTGTAGACTTTTTTCCCTGAAATGACCCCAGCCTTACAAAACAGAAGGAGTCATAGAGAAACCTTCCTCCGCTTTTACCGACTGTATTTTAGCATGATGTGTTTAAACCAGTTAAAAACAGGAGCTTTAAAAGCTCTAATGCCCCCAGCTTTAGCTGTCTACTGGCCTGCAGCATTCACGCTCTCTGATGTTTTACCTCATTCTGTCACAAGAAAATGTATTTAGAGTTTATGTTAATGACACAGAATAGGTTCAACTGGAGGCGATAATCCTATATAATCCTATTCAGCCTGTCTCAATCAGTCAGTTCATTATTTTCCCAACATTATCATCCTTGATCCTAAAACAGTAAAAATTTGATAATTAACGTGACATCATAAGGAAATCCCTGTACCTCAGGATTGTGCAGTTGTGGTCCTGAGCCTGTATTCCTGTATTACTTAGGTTTCTGTTGATGCATAACTCTGAGGTTCATTATGAATTTAGTAAGGTTTCATTTGCATTCCTTCCTCTGCTCATTACAGATCAAAGGAAAGTCATGGGTCTGTAAGCCAATCAGAGGCAGGCTGAGCAACCAGCAGGTTACTGTGCCCTCCTCTGATTGGCTCAGAACCTCACACTGCCTGTCATCCAGGTTTTTTGTGTTACTTTAGAACCAAGCACACATCCACTTCCCTTCTTTTTATTATTTTTTTTTCCAGAGCTGCTTACAATTTTTTTTCTAGAGCTGAAATGACTAATCAGTTATTGAAATAATCAACTAATTTGGTTATCAAATTAAATAGTTGCCTAAAGTCCATACTGCATATAAGATGCTTTGAAATAGGAAACAAATAATAGTAAAATATAAAAACACAGAGCTTTATAAAAAAAAAAAGAAAAAGACAAAAGATAACGGTTAGATAAAAGTACAATATCACAAAGTGTAGCTGAAAAACCAAGCACAATCAACAAGCTTGCCTAAAAAGTAAAGACTTCAGTTAGTTTTTGGAGGAGAGAACATGAGGGGACAGACAAAGCTCATTCCATAATCTCAGAGCAATTGCTTGGAAGTTAATCTTCTCCGATTTTAAAGCAGCTCCTTGGAGCCATGAGAAGGTTCTGACCCAAAGAGTGCAGCCAGAGGTGTGGGGCCACAGTGGACCGGTAACATATTAGGGAGTCTGACCAGGCAGATTGAATTAAAAGCCATGCATCAGCATTTTAGACCAGCTGGAGGCCATTTAGAACAGCTGTGTTAAAAGAGAAATATAGTAGTTTAATCCAGAAGAAGAAAATAAAATAAATCATGAGGTCAAGATCACAGTTTGACAGAACTGGCCTTTACTTGGCAAAGTTTCTGAAGTGATAGAAACCATTTTTCATCAAGAGCCTAGAGTGGCTTCCAGGTGATGAAACAGGAGACAAAGATTTCTAATGTTTGAGTGAAAAGATGAGATCAGAGAAGCAACAGGATTCACAATCAGTCTTTTTAGTGCTTGTTGAGCTCCGACTTCTTGAAAGAAACATGAAGAATAATCATACACAGAATCTAAAATGGTACCATTTGCTAAAAGATTAACCGACTTACTGCAAATATCAACTTTAAACATTAACAAACATAAAATATATATTTATTTATATGTATAGCATGTTTTTTTTAACAAGTTTGTCATATTTAATTCATTTAATTTTTCTATATCCCAAACGTTAATATATTTATAAATGTTAGCTTACTAAAACTATCTCTTTTAGATTGATTGATTAACCACAAAAATAATCAATAGATAGATAAATACCTAAAATAATCCATAGTTGTAGCCATACAGTAGCGTCTTCTATCCTTAGATTGGTAATCCACCTTTTAATTATGATTAGTCCTAAAAACTAGAGCTGCTACAAATAGTTGGATTTATTGTGGATTTTTTTTCATAATTAAATAGGTTATTTATTTGGTTGGTTTTCTGCCGTTCATTCATTCATCCAATCATTTATTCATGGATGGAATTCTTGTTCATAAACATTCAACAGAGTCGAGCTGAAGCTTTTAGAAGGCCTTTCATGGAGTTTGACGTAAGCCTTCCTGAACCAGCCGTGGCATGTTTTATGATCATTTCCTGATGAAACAAACATTAGTGTAAAAGTGTGGACCGTCTGACCTGCAGCCCTCAGATGAGAGGAGGATGTCAGGATGTTGAGAAACAGGAGGGGTTCAAGCGCATTTCCAATGAAGCCAGGTTAATGTCATCTACTGAGAGGGTCTTTAGCAAAGTGCAGGCTTCTGCTCCAACATCTGTATCAGTAAAGGTGGACCTCATGGACAATCCTGATGCATTCTGGAAATTGTTTTGATCAAATGAGTTACAGTTTGACCTGGCAACAGAGAATAAAAGCATTTTTGGAGGGTTGAAAGGTAGGGTTTCACATCGAAGAATGGTGGTGGCACCATTATGCTGTGGGACCGATTTGGTGCTACTGGTGGAAAAAGTGGAAGAATTTGAATCAATATTTAGGCCTCTGAAACATTTTGGAAACAAAATATATGGTTAAGTTTGATCTAATTCAGTGGTCGGCAGCCATATTAGACACAAAAATACAAAAAACAAATCTGTCTGGAGCCACAAAAAATGTAAAAGTATAAGCCTCATTTGGCAACTCAGGCTTTAAGTGTATTAGCCCACTGTAAAAAAAAGGACTACCTGGGCTTTAATATATATTAAGCAGTCATGATTAAATGTTTATCCTGGAGCAAATCACGTCTGAACGTCATGTGACTCTGCTGTACGATATTTGGTGCTTTAGGTTTAAATTTCATGACAATACTAATGTTTTAGGTTTAGTTGCATTGATGAAATCATAGATTTTTTGTTATTTTTATTTTGAGTATTTGGGGGGGAAATGGAAGAAAGTTCCCATCCCTGCATCAGAGCGCTACCTGTAGGATCTGTGGACGGTTTTCAATGCTTGCAACAAAACTAGCAGCAGTAGTGGAGTTTGGAGATGCAATCCACTTCTTAAATCTAATCAAATCTTAAATCTAATCTAATCTCTTAATTCCTGTCATTTATCCGGAATTTCTGCAAAGCAAATGATTCAGTCCATTCTTCTTTGAATCCTCTTTTCCTATCAGCTATCTTGCTTTTTTCTCCTTTGGAACCATGGCCCGAGACACACTAACCGCTTTTTTTTTCTTTTATAACAGCCACCTGCCTGGCATGGCGCCATGCTGAAACGTTTGTTGCAGGCTATGATGCCTATCTTCACTCAAAGAAATTTTTACATTTATTGTTTGAATGTATTTATTATACACATTTGTACAGCATTGGAAACATAAATGATTGTTTGACCTTACATTTTTGAAAAAGCTCCAGGGAGCCACAAGGGGGGCATTAAAGAACGGCAGGTTGTCGACTCCTGATCTAAGTAGCATTAATAAAAATGTTGTTTTTTTATTACATTTCTTAAAATATCTAGAGATTATCTCCAGACTGGGCTCTTGTTTCAGGCAGCATAAACATTCAGTTCTGACACATTTCCATTGAACCCTGTGCTTTTTGTTTGTTTGCAGCCTTTTCAATCGAAGGATCTGGGATTAGCTTTGCAGATCTGTTCCACCTTGTGGCCTTCTACTGCGTCAGCAGGTAAACAACCATTACTGCTGCTTTTATAAGAGGATGGAAACTTTCGCCATACAAATATTATTGGTGAAGTCAGCAGTTTGCACAGAGAACAAAACAAAACATTAAAAGCACGGTTTTTCCCATTCATATATAGTTCATCATGTTCTCCAACATGTACCTTTAATCAGGTTTAATTGAAATGCTACTAATGTTTAGAGAAGTTTGTGACTTTTTTAGAAAAAGTACCAACATTTGTGGGTTTTATATCTGGCTGCGTAATGGAAATAAAGAGTTGGTCGAGTTCAGGAGGGTTTTCACTTCTCTCTATGCCAGCTCTCAGGGTGTTTTTACCAACCAAACAGCCGTTCGGCCTCACTGAACTACTGTAGGCAGTAACTTGGAAAAACGACACGCTTTACTTTCTGTTCTGATTTGTTTTAAGGGTTTTTTTTGTTTTTGATTTTCCACATCCTATTTTGTAACTTTATGTTTCCCTTTATTTAAAGAGACATCCTGCCATTCACGCTCAAACTTCCTGAGGCCATTTCATCTGCAAAGACCCAGAAGGAGCTGGAGGAGGTGGCTCAACTCGGCGCAGGTAAACTCAACTGGAACCAGCTGATGCTTTATGTTAACACAAACCTTCGTTCTGCTCTGTCTGGGACAAACCCACACTCAGGGCTGATAGTAGTTTTAAATCCTCACTCAGAAATGTGCTAAATAAGAAAATAATTGGCTCCTTTTATTTTGTTCAACACTCCATGTGTTTCAAAAGATCAGAGAGTCTGGATGCAGACCACCCATCTACCCATCCATCCATTTTACATCACGCTTATCCCAATCGGGGTCACGAGGGTCGTTGGTGCCCATCTCCAACTGTCTACCGACGAGAGGCGGGGGTCCACCCTGGACAGGTCTCCAGTCCATCGCAGGGCAACACAGAGACACACAAAGATGCATGCACACTCTCACACCTAAGGAGAATTTAGAGAAGGCAATTAACCTAACAGTCATGTTTTTGGAGTGTGGGAGGAAGACGGAATACCCTGAGAGAACCCACGCATGCTCAGGGAGAACATTGAGGCTGTGAGTTCGAAAAAAATGCAGAAAGACCCCGGGCCGGGAATCGAACTTGCAACCTTCTTGCTGCTGTCTCGCCTATAGACAGCCAGAGATAGGCCCTAGCACCACTCATGACCCCGCTTGGGATAAGCGTGATGGAAAATGGATGGATGGAGGGATGGATGGGTCCGCCCATGCATTTATCTAGATGGAGCGTTAGAGACATTAGCATTACCACAATCCAAACTGGTAATGCACTTTTAAATTGTTTGCCAACTGCCATTAAACGTCACAAAAGAAGAAGAGGAAACATTAGCAGTCAGTTTTCCCGCTCTCCTCCTCAATGGGTAAAAAGTTACGCAAGCAGAAAGATTCACTGACCGCCTGCAGGTGATTTTCTTGGATTTGCCACATTTGGTGGAATAGAGACAGGATGGGTTATAGCTACGCAGGCTAATGCTAGCACCCTTCTGGGATTAAACATCAGTACAGAAGGAGGACCAAAATCCTTATTTGGGGGCTTTTTTGGTTTGATCAAAAGCTCACGTGAAGTAAATCGCTCACAACACATTTTCCAGCTTTTTAGCTGAAGCTCAGCACCAAAACACGGTTTAACAAGGTCAGATTCCTGGGTGATGACTCCTCTAATAAAATAAACATTGATAAAACTTTGTTTTGTAATGATCTATTATATTGATATTTTTTTTAAGCATTTTTTATTGTCATTACACTGTCACAAGTGCAGCGCAACGAAAACAACTCTCAGCTTTTAACCCATCCCTTGGGGAGCAGTGGGCTGCCATTGTGCAGCGCCCGGGAAGCAGCGTGGGGTTAGCAGTCCCAGAGTGACAGTCTGTGGGAGTGGGTTTCGAACTCACAGCCTCAGGGTTCCAAGCTCTATGCCCTAACCACTAAGCTACCACTCCCCCAATTAACAATTATAATAGGTATATAATAGTGTAACACTGTTTCGATGGTATGAGTAGGGTGAATAGAATAAACAAAAACAAAAAGAGAATAGATGCGTCAAATTTAGTCATACACTGCAAAAACAATCCAGAAATAAGTAAAAAATTGCTTAAATTAAGGATATTTAGCCTTAATTTGAGCAGGTAAATAAGATGATTTGCCAATGGAATGAGTATTTTCACTCTTAAAATAAGATAGTTAGATAATATGCACTTGAAATAAGAAGAAAAAATTGTTTTTTCTTATTTTAAAAGGAAATTGTCTTGTTCCATTGGCAAAGTGTCTTACTTACCTTCTCAAATCAAGGAAAAACGCACTTATTTTAAGAAAAAATAACTTATTGAGATTTCTATTTTTTGCAGTGTAGAAATGTGCATGCAGCATGTTATTATATCTTGTCCCCAATTTACCATTTATAAAATAAAACTTGTTGAGCAAGTTGTTTTTGCTCTGGTTAATAAGTCAGACTTTCAGCTCTAGTAGCCTGCAGTCTACTGCTTTACGGAAATGTCACTCATAAGTTGATGGATGTGGTTCTAAAAAAATTGGCCTGCTGTAAAAGAATGACGAGCAGTGCTGCTGTTATTTATGGAACATAACTGCCCTTTTCACCACCTCAAAATTTCCAAATAAAACATTTTAATTCTTACAAGTTTTAGAAAGATGGCTAAAAAGGTCATGCAGTGCAGCAACTAGTGTGGGTGGGGAAATAAGTGGGGTTCAATGTTTTCCATCCTAAATTAAACATTGGCTTTCTGTTATTTTGTTTAACAGACTTTAAATTGGGAAGGTAAGAGAAGAACAGGTTTTAAAACTTGTAAGTTAGCTTAGTACCATTCTATTTCCTTACCCGGAATGTAATTCAGGATTTCTGCTTTTCATTTATGTGTTTTTAAGTGTTCAATAAATACATATTTTTTGCAGCAGTTGTGACTCTGCATCAGCTGAGTAATTTCACCTCAGCTTCTGTCCTACTTCACTGGATCAGCCTGCTGGGTGAAATCATGGGATTGCATCTCTGTGTTTTAGGAAAGGCAGCCTGCATGCCGTTTAAATACATCAATATGGGAGCAATATTGTTGCAAAATTATTTGTACACGGGTGTGGAGAGTTGTGTGTCTGTATCTCGATTTGTGTGTGAGCAGCGGCATTTGAGGATGTGTGAATAAATCTGGAAATGTGTGAGGAGATTTGTGCGTCTGTACAACAATCTGCAAATGTGTAAAACTACTTGTGTGTGTAATCTGCTTTGCAAATGTGTGAAAAAATTCACAAATCTGTATTCAGATGTGCAAATGTGTGCTAAGATTTGCAGATTTGTAGATCAATTTGTAAGCACACATAGACACACTTATGTCTGAAGGGTTTTCGCTTCAAGATCCAGAAATACAGACACATCATTGGTTAGAAGTCAAGCAGTTTGTCGGGTGGCTCTCTTTACACACATGATTTTATAGATAACTTCATCCAGTTCATACTACAACTCTTACTTTGGGAAAATGTGCTTAACTCTTCACTTCTTCCTCATCTGTTTTAAAAATGGTGTGCTCTGCTCCTCATCTATAGCCTGGGTGCCATTCCGAACTTAGTCCCGCCCACAACGTTTGAGGTCGGGAAGTTCGGTCTGGCATTGCTCAATAGTAGCGCGAGTATGCTCGCACAATATCTGGTGGGCCAATCAAATTGTCAGGGCGGGCTTTATACGATGATGGACAGATGATCAACAGTAACGTAATCAACCATGTCACCAAAGCGCCCTTGGGTGACAACAACAATGGCTGCCGCTGGAGAGTTGAGGTGAGTAGATTCTGCTATTAGGTCTGTTCTAGAAGATATCGACAGCAAATTAATTTTAAAAGAGGAACAGAGAAACGCGATCAAGGCTCATCTTCTTATTCTAGGCATGCAACTGCACGCTTTGATTTTTGTTGACAAACAACTATGCGTCGCTTAACATACGTCACGCACTCCGTTGCTCTTATTGGTTGTAGGTCTATCCAATTGAGTGGAGAGGCATTTTTTTTCCTGGTTCGTTCGAAACACGCCCCATAATCACAGCTCTATGGAGCAGTATCAGACTCATATTCTGACTAGAATTGAGTAGGACTACGTCAGGCTACCTCATCTATACGTGTTCCAATAAGCAAACAGATGTTTCTGTGCACAGCACCCTCACACGCTCTTTCTACCGTAATGCCAGTCTACACGCAACATTTCCCCCCCCATCATCAAATCAGGAACATTTTCGGGGACAGCTTTATTGGGGACAGGTGGTACAAAACGGGGACTGTCCCCAGATTTTGGGGACGTCTGCTCACTGTAATTTTTGTGCTTTCTCCTCTTAAAAGAGCAAGAGTGATAGAGCTAACAACTGGGAGCAAACAGTCCTGTGCATAAGCTTCAGTCATTACCTGAATTAGCCTAGCCATGACAAATTCACCTTTGTATTACATTATAAATATGTTTAAATGCATTTGTTTGTTTTTTTTTTCAACTAAAGTCGCTTACCCATGGATTATTCGTAGCCTCAAACGTCCGATCCATCTCGCTGCTAGCAGCCATGTTTTCTCGTCACGTCATCTTCTGCAGCCGGGAAAAAACAAACAAAAAAAAGGGCTGCCTGTGAGCCTGTGATCAGGGCAGTAAATCCAGAAACACATACGAATCCTCTCTACGCATTTGCCGAGAAAACCCTTGACTTGTAACCAATGATTTGTCTGTATTTCTGAGTCTCAAAGCGAAAACACTTCGCGTGTTTTTACACATTGATCTACACATTTGCAGATCTTAGTACACATTTGCAAATCTTATTGCACATTTCAAAATCTTAGTGCATATTTGCAAATCTTTCTTAGATCTGAATAAAGATTTGTTGATTTTTTTTACACATTTGCAAAGCAGATTACACACACAAGTAGTTTTACACATTTGGAGATTGTTGTACAGACGCACAAATCTCTTCACACATTTCCATATTTATTTACATTCTCAAATCCTGCTGCAGAGACACAACTCTCCACACATGTGCAAATAATTTTGCAACAATATTGCTCCCATACATGCATACCATCACTGCAGGCATGGCAGCCCAACATGAAGAAATTAAGCCTTAGTGCTGGGTTTGCTCAACAGCATTCCTCTGAGTGGATGTGGGTGTGAAGCATGCATAGTTTGTGTTTTGTTTTCTGTCACTCCAACACTGGAAGTCCTCTGTTTAAAGACAAAGAGGAGCCTGAGATCCGCTGCTGTGTAAAAAAGCTAATTTATCAGAGCAATTGGAGGCTAACTGCAGCTCTGCACCTCATTATCTACACTATAGTCTTTGGAGAGTGCGGTTCTGGTGGCTTCAGGTCAGCCTGTTGGTTGCTCTAAAGCTACAACACTAAGTTTCATTGAGACTCATTCTAGAGGCAAAGCTCGAAGGAAAGCAGCAGCTTATAAAACGTTGGCATGAAATTCTTTGAAACTGAATCATACATATTAATCAGAGTGCAGAATTTGCTCTCTGTTGCCATCTTGGTTCTCTTTGTTTCAGTCACCAAGGTTCATAGCTTGTAAAGGCTGTTTTGCAAAAGGAAAATAATGATCTATTAATCTTTAGAGCTTCTGGAGTTTACTGGATCAAATCTTCAGGACCAGATCCTCATCAGTGAGGATTCATTCTTATTGTTAATAACTTCTTTTTCTCAAAGTTTTTTTTAAGATCTGACCTAGAGCTGAAAGATGTGGCCAAAAGTTATACCATTATATATTTCTTAATATTAATAATATATAAATCTGATATTAATATTAACTATAATTAACTGAATATGGATCAAAATACTAAAATGAAAAAACACAGTGCCTCTGGTTTAATCTTCTTCCTGGTGAAAAGGTGAAAAAAAAAGGAAAAAGGATCTAGAAATAATTAAAAAATGTATTAAATTAAGAGTCTTTACCCTTAATTTGAGTAGGTTAATGAGATAGTTTGTCAATGGAATGAGTATTTTTACTCTTAAAATAAGATAATTAAATAACATGCATTTGAAATAAGACAATGCAATTGTGTTTTCTTTTTTAAGTGTAAATTGTCTTGTTCCATTGGCAAAATGTCTCTTTTACCTCCTCGATCCAAGAACAAATGCACTTGTTTTAAGAAAAAGTGACTTATCTAGATTTTGATTTTTTTACAGTGTGGTGCAGTCTGATGGCTTCTGGCCGCCCGTCCAACTCTTTGTTACTTTTTTGTTTTCACCGTTTCCATAACAACAACTCATGGCTGAAGCCCAGGGACCTCTGCCGTCCATCTGCACCTAGAGATGGGGTTGTCACGCTGCTAAAATCCCTTATTTACTAAAACGCAGTATCGAAACCCTGTAAAATATTCAATACTTGATTCGAATTTTGAGTAAAGTAAGACAAAAAATAAAGACATAAAACATATTGTTTTCAGTCTAAACGAGGAACATGAGTTCTCAACATAATCACAGATGATAGTTGGATGAGGGTGTAACTAAATGCAAATTGAATTACCAAAATAAAACACAATTAGAACCATTTTAGGGTTGTCTGATGTATTATTTTATGAATGAATGAATAGAACCAATGGCGTAACTATCGGTAAGCAGAGACTGTAGTAGCTTACGGGCCCCCGACCTCTTAGAGGGGGTGGGGTGTTGTACTTCATATGGGGCCCACCCAGATAGTGTTGCTTACGGGCCTATTGTTGTGTCGTTACGCCATTGAATAGAACTTTATTGATCTAACCATGAGGAAACTCACTTCTGACATCGGCTCTAATAAAGAAACAGAAGGTGCACAAAAAAGGGAAAAGGTGTATGAGGTAAATAGAGTGCAATCCATCCATCTTCTCCTGTTTAGTCCTGTCAATGTAAAGTTCACAGTAGTAAAAAAAGAAAAACAATTAACACTTGTCTTTATTAGTCATTCAAGGGCTGGACGATATGTCCTAAACTTGTATTACAATATATTTCCATATTTCCATTCAATACGATATAATTCTGATATCAGCATAAACAATATAAAAGCCTCAGAAAGATTCTCAGCAATTTCCTTATCAGATGCATAAACTATGAAAATCATTAGTCCACATCTTTAAACTCTTTAAACATCAAATGTAAGAAATAATTATTAAAAAAAGAACAAACGCATCTGACCATTTCAATGTGGAGCCTCTATACTTCTGTCCCAGTGTAGTTTAGGTTCAGCCTGGAGATCTTTGTCATGGCTTTAGTCCCATAAAATGATTTTAATTTAGATTTTATTAACAACAATCTTGCTTGGCAAGACAACATATTGCAAACCAAGAAATTAACACTTGTTTCTCACATTTAACTCTTTCAGTAACACCAGGGTTGGGATACACACATTGTATTGGGAAAACAAAGTACTAAAAGCTCATTAAAAGTGGTAGCTCTGATTGATCACACTGTCGTTATTTGAATGAGGCAACAAAAAGATTCAAGCATTTTAATCAGATTTTCATGTTCAAATAACCTTATTCATTCATTTTAATTGAATTCAAGCTGTAGAAACAAAGAAAAAAGCAACGAAATAAAGACTGAAGGGGAGGGAACCTCAACCAACCTAAAGTTATACTCCAGGCAGAAACACACAAGCCTCCTACAAAGACACATAAAGTAAATTTGAACATTTCCTGACATTTTAATTCACTTTTAACTTTATGTTTAGAATACTATTTGTATTATTATTTTTATTGCTTCTTTAAGTGTAGCAGATTTATTTTGCAACTCAATTAGGCCTGAAACAGTAAATCAGATTAATCAAGTTTTGAAATAATCGTCAACTAATTTAGTAATCGATTAATCATTAACTGGGGTACAGAGACTCTAGAGTAAGCCTTTAGCTGACAGAGCGACCCACTTACAGCAACAATTATACCAAAGTTGTAAAACAAATATGTAAACACTTTGCATTTAAGATGCAAATCTTTTTCTTCTGTCAATCTGCTCTATCCAGAACTCCTCAAATGGAAAAGTTTTATTTTCACCTGGTTTGATTTCACAAAAACTCTTCTTTAAACGACCTTTTGCTAACAATTATTAATCGATTAATCGAAAAAATAAACGGATTAATTGCATAAAATTTGCAAAATACTCACTAGTTGCAGCCCTAGACTCAAACAATAACATGAGGCTGAAACGCTGGTTTCATATTTCTCCTCTGATCTCATCTTTGACAGAACAAACAACACTACTATTTATATACGTTTCTGCTTATAGTTACGCTTTTGTGTCGTTTTAGGTGTTTAGTTTGGCTCTCACATGAACAGAAAACCTCAGGCTCCGGATATGAAGACACTGTCGGACAGCTGAAGTCATATTAGAAATGTGAGAGAGGATGTTTCCATTTTTAGATGTCAGCATTAGTCATCACCTCATCCACGCCTCTGCTGGGTGTTATTTAGGCCCCGTAATTTTAAACTTTACTCTTCAATACAGGACAGCTGTATTTAAACTTATTACTGCAGCATGTGTGTTTAGTTGGGAGGTAGTTAAGTCATGAACATAAGGCAGTGAAAACCACAGAAAGGGATCCTGAAAGTGCTGGTTGGAGACTGGGAGTGGTGGAACTGGAACTGTTTGCTCTGCGGTGTTCTCTCAGGGCCCCTCCCTCTCTGTTATTAGCATGGGTAACTCCCTCTTTTCTGAATGTGTGTCGGCATTCAGGGAAGAAGAGCCAGCATATTCGCTGTGGGTCTGCTCCAGGCTGATCGCTTAAAGGAGACAGCTGAGTTGAAGAAGATCCAGCTGGAAGTTTTTAGTTAGTTTTTTCTTTTCTTTTTTTTTTTAAGAGTTTCTGATTTCAGGTACCAGGGTTTTTTTTTTTTTTTTTTTTGCTCTCAGTGAAGTTTCCGTCCGGCTTCTGTTAATGTTTTCATGTGTCTGTTTGTTTTACAGGCTTCTGGGACTCTGCCCTGTGCAGCCGGCGACGTGCCTCCCCCGCAGTCTGTCGCCGTCTGAGCCGGACCCTCGGCCCCCAGCAGGCTAAAAGGACGGGTGACGTGGAGGAATCCCGCCAGAGACATCTGGGTGTCCACAGCGACAGTGCGCCTCCTACCTTACAGCCCCACACACCTCCACCTTCCTCCTTTCAGGACAGCAGTCGCTCCATCGCGGCCCCCCTCTGCTTTGTGAACCCCCTGTTCCTACAGACTCACCCCCGGAGCCCTCAGGTCACCCGTCCCCCTCAGTCCGAACCAGAGAAAGCTGCGGATTCAGAGCAGCTGAGCAGTGAGCCGGACGTGGACCAGACCAAGCTGAACTGTAAATCGCGCCCTTCTCCTCCTCCTCGCCCCCCTCCTCCCCGTTCAATGCCAAGCCGCCGGCCCGCTCCGCCTCCACCCGGGCCTCCGGCACCGATTTCAAGAACCAAGAGCATGCCGGTACCTGTGGCCCCCAGGCAGCAGACCTCCACCAGGCGCCCAGCTCCAGCTCCACCTACAGTGGGTACCAGAACCAGCAGCCCAACCAAAAGTACGACTTCACCGAACCGACCGCCTCCTCGACCCAAACAGCCTGATCTGGAAGCTCTGCGGTGCCACATAGCCCTAGATGATGAGACCATTGCGAGGGCTCTGTCCCGAGCCAACCTCCCATCCTGCCAGCCGGCACCTGCTACCGAGGAACCGTCACAGAACCTCACAGAGAGTCTGCCTGAATCCGGTGAGAGGGGGCGTCAGCGCCTCAGTGACATGAGCATCTCAACATCATCCTCAGACTCCCTGGAATATTCCCGCTCTCCCGGGTTCTCCCTGGACCTGGCTCCCAGCCCGTCTCAGCACCCGGCAGAGGACAGCAGCGAGGACGACGAGGACGTGGAGGAGGACGACGAGGACTACGGCGTCGGAATGGAAGCAGATTTGGAGTCGCGTCTTCGTCCCATCCTTAAAGCTCGGAGGCGGAGGGTCGGCGTGAGTTTGGGCGGCGGGTCCTTCGTCCTGCCCCGCTCCCTGAAGGGGCGCTTCAGCAAAGTGGGAGGGATGCTCAGCTCCCTGATGACCCCGGAGAAACGGGCCGTCAAACGGATTGCGGAGCTTTCCCGGGACAAGAGCTCGTACTTCGGCTCATTGGTTCAGAACTACATCAGCTTTGTTCAGGAGAACCGGAGCTGCCACACTTCTGGGATGGACTTCCTGCAGACTGTGCGGCAGTTCATGACCCAGATGAAGGCTTACCTGCGGCAGAGCTCCGAGCTGGACCCTCCGCTAGAGTCGCTCATACCAGAGGACCAGATTGGTGAGTGTTTGGTGCTACTGGCATTACCCTTTTGTTGTCCTATCTGGTTCCATCCTTTTCATTGTGGAAGTAAAACTGAGTGTAATTCCTAACTAAAAGCTTCTCAGGATCAACAACTACAGAGTTTAAAGCATTTTGTGATGTCTGGAATCAGAGGTCTACTGTACCTTTCATACAAGTCATCCTCCATGCTGGTGTTTGGTTACAGAAATGCCATCTGGCTGTTATTCCTGTCCGGAGCACGTCAGTCTGAGGCTGGTCTAAAGGCCAGGCAGTTTAATTTGCCCTGTTTCCATTAGACCATATGAGACCAGATCTACATGTCTCTAAAAAAAGAGAATTTTTTTGGGGCAAATTCTGTCAAAGTCCAGAGAAACTCTCCTTTCCTTACCTTTCTTTACCAGCCTGGTCCTTCTATGCTTAAGATGGTGTCTGGCTACTGTCCCCAGATCTGTCACATTAATCTCATGGCTTGTTTAAAGAAAACTGCTTCACCCCTGGAGCAGAGAAGATTAGAAACTCTGGAGAACAACAAGTGGCAGAGTTGTCCTACGATTTGAAAATTGCTGTATCAACTCAGGCCTCCTCTTGCCTTATGCTCATTGGTCCGGGGGCAAAGGCACTGATTCCCAAGTTGACCTGGGTTTGAACGTCTCTGTTGAATGTCTGTGAGCACGATTTGGTGAATGTTGCTCTGCTTTAGGATTCCTTATAAATTCATTAGAATCTATTCTGCAGAGACAGAGGAATCAATTGAAAACCTCAGAATGTTACTGACTTTGTTGATATGAGGATATGAGCCAATGAGGACGGGTTTAGTGTGAAAATCTAAGAGTTCTTCTGGACTTTCCAAAGAAACAGCGGTTGGTTTATTCCCCGGCTGATCTTTCTGTTACTACACTTAAATAAATCAAAATCTAGATAAGTCATTTTTTCTTAAAATAAGTGTATTTGTTCTTGGATTGGAGAAGGTAAAAGACACATTTTACCAATTGAACAAGAGCACTTGCATCTAAAATAAGAAAACACATTTGCATCGTCTTATTTAGAGTGCATGTTATCTAATTATCTTATTTTAAGAATAAAAATACTAATTTGATTGGCCAATTATTTCATATACCTACTCAAATTAAGAGTAAATACACTTCATTTAAGACATTTTTAAATTTTTAAGACATTTGTTTTTCCAGCGTATACTGATGCAATCAAATACTCTTAAGGGAAAAACTCACTAAACTAAATTTAGAGCTGGGTATTGGTTCATCTTTCAAGAAATGATTCAAGCCTGATTCTCAAGATTTCGTTGTTATTCTTTTCTACCCGATCCAACAATCCAATGTAAATTTTGACAAAGAAAAAAAAAACAGCTGTCAACTGAGTTACTATGTGATATACAACCTATTTGTACTAGTGTTATTTTATAATCTAACAGCAAACTGATAAAGTAATGGTAGTAAATGTCTGCTATCAGAAGAGTGGAAAGTGCATTTTTTAAATAATGCATCTCTGGTTATGAATCACGCTTTAGGACTTCAGATGGGAATAATTCAGAGTTTGAGAGTCAATATATTTTAGCCCTGTTTGAAATTTGAAATTTTCTTTGTTTCTGTCTGAATCTACATCCAGCTGTTATTAGCGGGTCAATTAGTCAGGCTATCTGCTCAGTTAGACAGTCTGCACTGAGATTTTTTTTTTATAAATGAGATCATTATGTTTAAAATAAGAAAGAAACAACTTCACAGTCTCCTTTAAAGTGCTTAATATCTTATTTTAAGGGAAAAATACTCATTTCATTGACAGATCATGCATTTTTATTTTAGATTGTTGTTTTTTCTGGTTCTCCTTGTAATTTTCTAACTTCACCTTTGAAAACAGCGTTACTTCAATACGCAACAAAAACAGAAACCTTAATAAGTGAATTTCTATTTAAATAAATGCATTTTCCTTTGATTTGAGCCAATAAGTAAGACCATTTGCCAATGGAATAACATAATATCACAAGTTATAAGTTACATTAAGAACATAACTCCATTGTCTGCATATCTATTCATCTTATTTTAAGGGGAAAAGTAATAATTTCAAATTTTAAGATTTTAATTTTAAGAAATGTTCTTCTTATTGTCAGATTAGCTCTCGCAGAGTAAAAGTGATCAGTTTAATAAAACTCTCAATACAAATCCAAATTTTATTTTAGCTGCTATTTTTTTTTACATGTCTTCTGCTGAGTTTCTTTGCCACTGTCCCCGCTGTGTGACAATAAAGATATTTATCATCTTATCTATAGAAGAAAGTAAATCTTTGTCCTTGGAACCTTATCATTTCCAAGTTAACTCTTCAGCTTAAGCAGTCTGACCTTTAACCTGGCCCAACCCACAGCACCGACGGCTTGCTTTCAGTCTGCTGCAGTGGCTCGACTCAAGCTCTTTTCACATGAATAATGTAGGCTTGTGTGTTTGCACACATCTCATATCCCTTGTTCATTGTAAACAATAACAGCCGTGGCCTTGTTCTCAGACAGAGAAGTGATCCGTCCTGGTGGTGCTAACGGGCCGCGGATAATGAAGCTTCTCACGCTCGCCGCCCTTCCTCAAAGTCCGGAGTTGACTTTGAGGTTTCTGTTCAGATCATCTTTTAAACTAAACCCGGAAATAATTCAGAGTTTAGTTAGAGATTATGTTTGTTTTCATGCTCAGAACGTCTTCATGGAATAGAGGAATAAAGATTTCAAATTTAATTTTTAAAAAGAATCAGGAGGACCTACAGATTAGGTGTTCCCCTCAGCATTGTGTTTGGTTTCTTGTTCTTAATGCTGCATGTTTCATGTACAGCCAAGGTACTCAGTGTAGGGAAATCTTTGAAGAGCTCTGATAAAGACCTTTTACAAACACCAGCATGCAGAATGGAGGAAATGAGCCATTCTGGAGAGAACAGGGAAGTCGGAGGTTTATAAACACGTTTAATCAGATTGGAAGACTCTGTACACTCCTCAAACTTCCTGCTGATTGCTTTTTCCCCCTCTCCAATTGAAGAACAGCCAAAGCCCTTCCCAGCACTTGCAGGGACCTGAGGAGAATGTGGTGGAAGCGCGGATCAGTTCTTTGCTCCAATCAAGCTCCTCTGACTCATCTAAAGGAATCTACATTAGGAAAAAAAAAAAAGGGCTCTGTTGTGTATGCAGTTACTGAATCAGACATATCTCTGCATGCAGTGTGTTGCATAAATGTGGCATAAACTGTGCCTGGAGGCTGGGGATGAACACACGCATTTAAAGTTGCGTCAGTTCATCTAACTGAACAATAAACCCCGGTTGTGTGGAATCAACCGGCTGCACATAGCTGAGGTAGGAAGGAATTAATTTGATTCTGAGTTTAGGAAGGTCTGACGCACAGATCAACTCTTTTTTTTTTTTTATGTTTATTTTTTCTCAGGGTAATGAGGAGCAGCTTAGAGGCTCAGATTAAAGTTTGACTTCAAAAAAATTATCCACACTTTCATTATACTAAATATATGCCCATTTCTGGCAAATCACCTTTTATTTTTGTTTTTACTCCTAATTGTCAAAAAGCATTATTTAATGATTAAAAGACACACCTTTAAGCCAAACAGTTTTGAACGTTAGCTGCACGGTGTCGCAATGGTAGAGGTAAGGCTTGCTGCCATTCAGCATTAATTCCTAGGTTGGAGTCCCAGCCTGGGGTCCTTTGAGTCGACTTCATCCTGCAGTCCAAAAAAAAAACAACCTCATGACTTTAAGATTAAATGCTCTATAAATTACCCTAAGGTGAGGGCGATTTTTAAAAAATTTACTGAATATTGTTATGTCAGGGTTATTGATGTAAATATACAAACGTTCCTTTCAGGTTAGCTCTAGTCTCTAGTCCCTAGACTAGTAGTTCTATTGTTGATTATTTTCATTTTAATGTTGTTGTTGTTTTGTTTTTTTTAAAGTCATTGGGAAGTCATATTTAAATTTTAAATCATTCTGGCTTAAACGTGTATATAAATGTACTCTTTATCAGACCATATTGCCCCAAAAGTTGGAAAATTTTCCATTATTTTATACAGGCCAGTTAGTTATACGTCAGCTTTTACACCTACGGTAAATTCGGCCAATCATATATCAACGGTCATCTGTCAATCACATTTTTTCAGTCACAGCATCTTGACTCATATGTTGCAGCTAATATACGCAACGGTTGAAATAAGAATCATTTCCGTTCCCATTGAGTTCTGTCCCAGTGTTCACGGGGATGGACGTCTGTGTCTTCAGCAGGCGTAGAGCTAACAGAACTGGCAGCGTTGCGAGGCAAGGAAACATGTTTCCGCTGTCCATAGCGTTCCTTGACAGTGTCGTTTCTAAGTCACCGATTTAGTGCTACTTGGTCCCAATGGAATTTCCCATTGGGAACCTACTAGCACTATGTTGCTAACTGGTTAGCAAGACGCTTCCAAAAAATGTCCACAACCAACCGGGTTTGTGAACCTTCCGCCACAACAATCCCGCCCTCTTGATAATCGACCAATCATATTAACTTTATTCACTCGTGTAAAGTCGGGCACCACTCGGGAGAATTCAGAAATGCAATGGTTGGAACAGCCACTTCCCTACGACTTTAATAAAGGTTTTATAACCAAACCTGAATGATGTATATGCTGCATATTAATTCCTCTAAAGAACGCCTTCTGGTCTGTATTTCTTTTTCTGTCAGCTGCTAAACCTGAACCCCAGACTGTAGGCCCTCTGAAAACCAAGTCATGTTAGCTTTGGTGCTCTGTCCAATTTGATCTATTTCAAAAATTGATCTAAAAATCTATCAAACCTACTTAAAACAAGTGTATTTCCTCTCAATATAAGCGGGTAATTATGATGATCTGTTGATGGAATGAGTGTTTTCCCCTTGAAATGAGATTATTAAATAAATTATTACGGATTAAGTTATTTTTCTTGTCTTAAAGTCCCTTAAAGCCAAGTGTATCATATTTGATACATGAGCTGTTTAGACCCTCTGCATCATGAGTGCAATATTTTTGTTCTTGAAAATCCCGATTCACACACTCAGACATGTGTAGGGAACAGAAAACACATTAAATATTGTACAAACATTTCCAATGTTGTGAAATTGATACAAATAAACAATCTAATTTAAGCTTAATTTTCTAGGAAGTTCAAAGACAACTCTAAAACAAAAAAAAAGGAATTTTCTGTCAGGCTTTAAAGGGTTAAATGCACATTATCTCCTTATATGGGTAAATTGTCAATTCAAAGAACATTATGCTAATTTCCAAGTGAAATAAGCATGCATATATTTTAGATTTTACAGTATGATGGTTGTTTGAAGGTGGTGGCTTCCAGTTATTAATTCCCTTTGTGCTGCAGATGGTGTTAATGGATCCTCAGTGTGTCACTGTAAAAATTTTTTTTTTTTTTTTAACCGTGTCCTGTCTGGCAATGTGGCAATAAGAATAATTGTCTTGATGCCAAAAAAGAGCCCAGCAGATTGTACTTTCACAAGTGGAGCAGTATGGCAATAGCCATAGTGTTTTGCTTGATTTATGCATATAAATAGCTTTATTATCATTATGCAGGGAGTTTTACAGATTATATGGACACTACAATGTAAGACGAACAGGGAAGGAAAAACGGGAATAGGGAGAAACAGTGAAAGAAAGAGGAGATAAAAGGGAGACAATGATAAAACGTCAAAAACACTGTTTTATTTAGATGGGGTCTGCTGGAGCAGGGATGGATCTGACCCTCATAAACTGAAACTGGATGCCAATGGCGTAAATTCTCACTTCAGCTACTGTTATAAAAACATTTCCAACAATGTGATTTTATTGTTTAAGCCACAATTAGGTGAGGTTTCATGGTAGGAAAGAATTAGTGCTGCGCTGATGCCATTTTTTTGGCCCCGATACCTGGCTGTGCAGTATTGGCCGATACCGATACCATCTGTTTGAAATTGATGTGTGTATATATGAAGAACTGCATACTACTTGGATGTAAAATAATTGTCATCATGGCTTTGTCAAACCTAACTTTGTGAAGCAGAAAAAAGACTAATACAAAGTGAATCCAGTAGAACTTTTTATTGCTTACCTGGAATGGGTGACAATAGTTGAATAAACTTTTGGATCTCAAAATGGTATCAGTGCCCTATTTGTTGGTACTGATACAGATTCCATCATTTTAGTGCTGGATCAGGGCCCCACCTGATACTGGTATAGGTGTCGGTCCAACACTAGTGAGAACCTGTTGAAGAAAAGGCAAAAATAACCAGAGTTAAACATCCTGATCAAAGTGGTTCCATGTTAGCATAGAAACGAAGCCGTACAAAGGATGTAGGTTTCCAGATAATCGGGATGGGATAAAAACAGCGACCTAGTTCCTATAATCATCAACTATTGTTAGGAACTAGAACAACCGACCCACTTGTTATTAACCAATTGGTTACGGAAACTTTTTATGTGCTTGCTTATGTCAGAGATGACAGATATAATAAGATACTCATATTTTTGTTGATATTGGACCGATCTTCGATATCAGTATCGGATTGAGACGCCCTACAGATTTACAGCAGGGATCAAACTGAGCCCATTGAATTAGCTGATATTTTATCTAAGTTTTCCTAGAAGCAGATTATAATGTCTATCTTTGGAGAATCCGTTTGATTTTAAATCTAAACATGATACAGATTTTTTTTTTTTTACATTTGCTTTTCCATAAAAAAGATTAAAGCCTAGTTCCTTCAAAATAATGTTCATGCTAATCGATTTTATACAGGTTACTACATGAATGGAAGACGCTTACTATTTTTTAAATCTGAAACTGAAAGAGTCTTGCTTTTTATTTGCGACATCTCTCAAAGTGTAACTGATGCTCTCATGGAACTGATTCGTTATCATTTTCAGGAATTGCACCATTTGTGTTCTTGATTAATCTCCTTGGAATGGGATCCATTAGAATCGGATGTTTCATGCATTTACAGGAACAGTTTTTGAATTGACAGGCTGTCAGGAGTGTTACGAAACTAGCAGTGACTCACTTTCACAAAGAAAATGTTTGTTTACAATGATCGTCACATCTGTCTAGTGGTTTGCCTCTGAGTTTAACTGTGGGGTGTGTGTTCCTGTAATCCTCTACAGACCGGGTTCTTGAGAAGGCCATGCACAAATGTGTCCTGAAGCCTTTGAAGAGCGACATTGAGGTGATTCTGCATGATTTTCAGGTAAGACGAGATTCATCTCCACGCCTATGGTTTATCTGAAAATCTGAGGAAAGCTGGAATTTACAGAACTTTTCTGATTTTGCAACATCCTAACCACAAGCTGTCTATTTACTATGGTTTCATGTGGCAAACCAACAATAACATGGCCTAAATAAATCTGAAAAGTGTGGTGTTATATGGAGTAAAATTGGAAGCAAAAAAAAGAATGCTGCATAGAAGGAAATTGGAATAAAACAGGATTTGCAAATGATAGAATGAAGAACAATAATGTAATGTATGTAATGTAATGTAATCCATAAAAATCTGACTGAAAATCTGAGAGATTAATTTTGCTGTTTTCTCACATTTTTCTCTCAAGTTTTTGTTTTTGTTCTTTACAAATATTTTTACATATTTGATTTTTTTATTATTTCTAAAAAAAAATGTATAAATAGAATTCATTGCAATTTCTCTTTGAGTTTTATGAGTTACATTCTTTTCAAATTGCATTTTGCAGATCTCATTCTCTGTGCCTCTAGCCAAATTCAAACTCTTAGTGAAAATGATGTTGTTAAAACCATGCAGACCAAAAGAAATGTATCTTCTCTCCTCTCTATGGAGGAAAACCTCAATAGAAGAAGATCTGTAAGAAAGAATTTGGAAAGAATTTAATTCGTAAACCATAATCTGACAACGACCAAATAAAAAAATGAAAACATTCATTTTTAAAAAAGGTACTCTAAAAAACTTTTTTGATTAAGAAGTTTTTCAAAATTTTGTTTCTGTGTTGCTTTTTTCCCCATTAATGAAACATGTTTATTTGCAGCAATAATGGAACAAAATCCCCTCCTTATTTTGCTGCATTAAGCTCGTGCATCGGTAACCGGCCACGAGGCCTTTAACTTGATCACAGCTGCAGATTATTTTCCTTCATTAGAAAGCAGCACAGGCTGCGTCAGAATGGAGGAAGAACATCCATGAAGATCCGGTCTACAGATTCTCCATTAGTTGTTCATCTGTTCTTGGACAGGACCTTTTATTTTGCTCTTATGTTTTATTTTTTTGTCTCGTGTGTTAAAGATGTGACGGTTATCCTCCAGTATAGATTCTCCTACCAGAGCTAAAGATCTTTGCAGGTCCTCCAGAGCCACCGATAGCCTGATAGCTGATTAATCCTCTCCTCGCCCAGTCTATCAGTTAAGATGGACCTCCAGGTTTTGGTTGGCCTCTGTTTTATCCATCCTCCCTTAATGAATGGAGCTCTGTGTAATGTCCATTCTTTTAAATCTCTCCAACTTCGTCCCTGAAATTATGCTGAGATGATTATACTGAGCCATTTCAGAGTAAAGGGCTGGATCAAAATGAACAGCACTCTTTGGAGATTTTACTTAAAAAAAATAATTTTTGCTCTACAAGATGCTGTGCATACAGGTTTTTCTGCAGCACAGATTCACTTTAACCGCCCCTCCTGCCTTCCTCCTGCAGGTGAACAGCGGAGCTCTGCAGCAGCTCAGGGAAAACCTGGCCCTGGCTAAAAACAAGAAGCCCCAAGAGCTGGGGGTGGACGGAGCCGTGCCCCCCGACTCTATGGCCATCGAGAAAATTCGCCAGAAGTTCCTGAACATGAGGAAGATGTACTCCCCCGACCAGAAGGTGTCCCTGCTGCTACGAGTCTGCAAACTCATCTACACCATCATGCAGGATAATTCAGGTAAGTAGAAAAATAAGTGGCCGCTTTCTGTGCCTCTGATCGCTGGGCACGTTTAACACTGCTTTCCTCTCAGGGAGGATGTACGGCGCCGATGACTTCCTGCCCATGCTGACCTATGTAGTCGCTCAGTGCGACATGCCGCAGCTGGACACAGAGGTTCAGTACATGATGGAGCTGCTGGACCCGACTCTGCTGCAGGGGGAAGGTCGGTACCGTCTGTGTCTGCAGAGATCCATCTATAATATGTGACGTTAACATAGAAACACACTCATAGATGAACAACTTAAAGAAGAATCTATTTAGTTGTCCTACATTTATTGAACAGATGCAATTCAGTAAATAACAAGATCATCAACGAGTTAATCTATTTCTGTTTTTAATTAACCCCCCCTAAAATAGACAAAAGTTATCTGCAGAAATCTCACAACATCCTTAATTTCCTTTTAATTTGTTGTTAACAGTCCAAAGGCTCCAAATAATTAGTTCTCTGAGCCTATTTTTCTAATCTAATCAAATTAAGGACATTATATGCAACATTAAAACAAAATAGAAAATCTAATTTCGATGCTGTTATGACTGCTGTCATGGCAGCAGTTTGGGAAATTCATGCAGAGCATCAGAGGTTATGTCCTGCAGAGGCTCTAAAACTGATCCTGTAGAGAGGATAGGGACCCTTTCAGCTCTCTGTCCTCTACAGCGGAAGTTTCCAAAGGAGGGGTCAGGAGACACAGAAATGAGGTCACAACATGGTTTTAACAATAAATGTGATGTGATACCGAGGTGTAGGAAGTGCCAAGTTACATCATTAAATACATAAATGAGAAACTCCCATTAAATGAAAAGATGATGTTTTTTTTATCTATCTAATACGTGATTCAAATATCAAATATATCTTTAAACTGAGAAATGAACAATTAGAAATATATTAAAAATAAATGTGTTTAGAAATAGATGACAATTACTTCACTTTTTATGTGTGAAGTAATTCTATGTGTTTATATGTACAGTCAGTTGCATTGGTATTTTTTGGGTTCCAGGCTGAGCTGTTGGTCTGCTCTACCAAACCCTCTTATGTATTTGCAGCAAAGGCTTCTATCACAATATATTTATAATATTCCCTCAATACGATATAATTTTAAAAAGTATAAAAGAAAATGAAAAGCATAAATGTCTACAACAGCTTACCATACAAACATTTGATGATTCATTTGCCATGTTTCTAAAACTCCAAAATAACATTTGAGAAATATAAAAAAAAAAAAAGACAAAACCAGAGGAGGGTCGTAAGTAGTTACATTTACTTTAAGAAAAAATACTTTTAAGAGTAGTTGTTCTGCTTTTTACTTTAACTAAAGCAGTGTTGTTGTGAGAGTGTGACTGCTTTTATCTGAGAAATCTTTCCTGTTACTCCAGTCACCGTGAGTCATTTTTAAGATCCGGTGAAAATACAGGAAACAGTAGAAATAGTCCATGTTGTTGCTGGAAGTTCTTTAGCTTTTCCTGAGACATTTTGGATTCAAAATTTTATCTGTGTTTTGTTTTGATTTTTCCAACCAAATCAGAATAATATATTTTTTCCATTTAAGTTTTATAATGAAAGGATGCCAAATGACATATAGTAGTTTACTGGCTTTTATTTCAGCCACCCCCTTTAGGAGGTGATCATAATTCATAGAGTAACGCACATAACGCACAAACATATTAAAGTCGTGCTTCTCTTATTTGAGTAAAACATTTGGCTAATCTGCCCAAACTCTTTGGCTGTCAGTCAGGAGCGAATGCTGTAACCATTGACAGCAAAGTATTTGGAAATATCAGAAATGTCAACTCAGCATTTGTGAATAAAATGATTTGTTTCAGTTTACTCATAAAAGACATATGAAGAAACAAGCTTTCTGCTCTGAAATGAAAGAATAACTCAAAGACGGAACGCCGTCAGTGAAATGTGACAGAGACAATCATCGATGACAAAATATAAATAAAAAACATGAAAAATAAAACCCAAGTTTTTTTGCTAAAATTAAAAAGAAAGGGTCTTCATATTACTGGTCATAGTTATTATTTAAGGCTTTCTGTAATATCTACTTATGTGTAACTGCAAAGTGAGTTCTCAAATCTTCTGTTAGTTTAATGTTTCCTTATTATAAATAAGTTATATTAGTTTTAGCTTAAAAGACTAATAGAGCCGTCCCCTGGGGGGGATCTTTGCTTTCACCACATTTAAGCCACAATCTCTCCAAAGGATTTCTACACACTCTGGAAAAGCCTTTGTTTCAAGTGTTTTTCAGTTCGAAATCTAGTTCAAAAGTAGAAAAAAAAAGTGATTTAAGAACACTTTCTGGTTTCTAGCCTTGCACTTCTTTTCAGTTTCTAACAAAAAATCCAGAACTGCCCAAAAGAAGCTGCTTAAAAGGAGGATCTTTTTAGACCAGAATGCTGAAGAACCACAGCTAAACTCTCTTAGATTAAAGACCCATTCCATGTCATACAGTATAATCCTTCCCATGCTACTCTCCACAGTGCCTCCAAACTCAAACATTTTAACTTAAACAATCATTATTGTTCTACTGCATAAAACAATATGAACTTTTATATTAATTTGAAATGCCACAAAAGCCCACTGGAAAAACGATCTAGAAATAAGTAAAAATATATTTAATTAAGTGTATTTACCCTTAATTTGAGTAGCTAAATGAGATAATTTGCCAATGGAATGAGTATTTTTACTCTTAAAATAAGATAATTAGATAATATGCACTTGAAATAAGAGAATGCAATTGTGTTTTCTTATTTTAAATCTAAATTGTCTTGTTCCATTGGCAGAATGTCTCTTTTATCTTCTCAATTCAAGAAGAAATGCATTTATTTTAAGAAAAAATGACGTATCTAGATTTAGATTTTTTTCCATTGCAGATTTCCCTAATTGTTTGCAGAGGAAGCGTTCTTTGCTGTCCCTTGTCTACGGCTGTCATTCAATCAAAACAAAACAACATAATTTTCCAAACTTTAGTTTTTAAATAGACATTTTTTTTTATGAAAAACTACCTAAAAGTTGCTAATTAATCCAACAGAAAATGTGTTGGAACCCACAATGAGGCCTTTTGTTTTAGTATCCATGTTGTTATTTCTCTGGAATTCAGTTTGTTTTTGTTTTCTGTGAGTTTTTAATCTCTCTGTGAGTTTCCCTTGGTTTATATTAGTAGAACATTGTTCTCATGAAGGATTTAGTGAGAAAGTCTTAGGTGTGTGCAGAGGAAGGAAAGGTCTTCGTGGAAGGAAGGAAATACCGTTCAGTGTTTGATTATAATGGACTGGATCGGATTCAGGTGAAAATGAACGGGTGGCGCCTTCACAGGGGGAAATATTTTCCTACTGTATCTTCGTGGCACGTAGGCTGAAATAAGTGGCTTGGAGATCCACGTGTGAGAATCTTTTCAAATATGACATCCCTGCAAGAAATCCCTTTACTTTCTGTTCTAAAGAAAGGAAGCTTTTCTAATTCTTGTATCAGTTATTGATAGATTAGCCATCCCAGCTGCAAATTGTGCAACAAAAATATTACCCATACCGAGAACGTACAGTACATAAAAAGAGAACTACCTTCTTAGATCTCAGATCACTTCAGGCTGTACTTCCAAGAACAAGAGGAGGGTCTGTAGTTTAATCCTTTCTGAATAAATCCTACTAATAAGGGGAATATTTAACCATTAAGGAGCAGTCAGTTCCCAGTAGCTGACAGAACATGCCAGCATCTGTTCTTATAAAGTAATAAAGACGTTCCTCCAGGTGTAGGCGTGTAGCAGATGACTGGGTCTAACGGCTCATCAAGGTCTTCTGGCAGAACAAAGCAGCTTCCCACCATCTTAACCATCCATAACCTTTCATGGACTTTCTTAAACCGCTAAAACCAAATTCTCATCCTGATTTTACAGTAATTCATTTATGGCTTTTTGATTTTTTTCCGTTAAGCAAAATTTCATGAACTGCAAAGCTTTTTTAAGACTGGAGACTTTATTAAGAGAAGATCTTCTCATAGAAGATTTAATGAAAACCTAATCAAGTCCTGATAATCATCAGAATGTGCTTCATTCAATGACCCGTCTTTATTCTTAGTGCCAGAAATGATTTTTTTTTGGCTTAATTTTTTTTTTTCACTTGGCTAATTATTTATTTATGATTCATACATATGAGCATTTTGAAAGCTGATTAATTGCTCTGTCCTAACAAGTTGATAATTTTAGCCTCCACTGATCACTGTTTTATTTAAATTAGTCTAAAGACAAATTGTATTATTACTGCTTTTTACTTCAAAACAAATGGGTTCAGATTGACTCCTTTAAACGCTGACAGGATGTAAGCAACAGGTTGATCATGCTTGACGTGACGCCAACTTGTTCCGTCCAGCGTAAACAAAGCTCTGACAAGATGGTTTCACCTGCAGCATGATGACGCACAAAGTTCCCTGAGGCATTAAATAATTTAGCCGGATTCAATGGAAACCCTAAAGGTAAAGACAACAGGAAAAGTAATATCTGCTTCAAGTCAGCAAAGATACTTAAAGGCCTTGTCTATCTGTTACATTTTTCATGACTCTTTTTCAGTTTGGGTTACAGATGTTGCCAACTGACAACTGTTAATCATTTAGAACATGTCATTGGATAATTCGTTACTCGTGTAGCCTGGTCCTGGACGCTATGGGCGGCTTTACCGTAGTAACAGGAGAAGCCGTGCAAGTGAATTTGTGTGGTCGGACAACATGTGGTAATTTATAAATGTTTTCAATCAGGTGGGTCCGGATCCAGACCGAGTTCCACTAATCCTTGATCTCTGGTTTAGAAGATACATTATTTTCCCAGAATTCTTTTGTCTGATAAGCCTTTGGGATGTAAAAACCTGTCAGTGTTGTGAAAGAGTGCTGCAAGGGATGGAACAAAGCGCAGTCACTGATTGGTCAGCTGCTGACAGACCTTCTAGACTTATTGACAGGTTGGGTCACTGTTCATGAAGGAAAACAGCAAATTGCTAAGAAACTTTCCTCTATTACTAATCCTGCACGAGGCGACAGCAGAGAACCGACTCCCAGAAATAATTTCTACTCATAGAAAAAAAGGAAAAATGAATTATTTATTACATTTATTAATGGTATGATTCCTGACCTTTGACCCCAGTGATTTTATAGCACTAGCCTGCCTTTAATTTCTCACACTAGACTGCAAACTTTCTGAAAACCCTCTCAGCATTTAGTACACTATCCCTACTCACATAACGACAATATAGGTGTTGATCAGAGTAAAAAGTATCTGTCTTTTTTTCCTCTAAACTCTTCCTTTCTCATTTCTCTGAATGCAGCACCAGACATGTTTTGTTGTTATTGTTATAAATGAGTGATTTGATTAGAGTCACTGGTCCAGAGCTGCATTGATAGCAATAGAAGCTATGCATTCATTTCAGAAATGCTTTATTAATCATAAAGGGAAATTAGCTGTTGCAGCATGATGGAGTATTAGGGCCAGGTTAGAGATTTTTTTTATTTTTTTTTATTTTGAAAATAAAGTCGTAACATTAGGAGAATAAAGTCATCGTACAACAACCTGTTTCAGAAAGAAAGCTTCAACCCCTGACCATCAGATGACGACCGACCAGCTCCACCAATCACCAACCAGTCCACTTTGACATCGTTGCCCAATTTGATGCTGCTGCCAAAAGATTTCCTTATTTGTCAAACCAGAGCCAAAGTATAACTTCACATGATGCTCCACATTCCTCATTTTAGGGAAGAAAGTGCTTATTGTAAGAGTTGTCATAAAATACAACTTGTTTCTCGTAATTTTAGGACTTTTTATTCTCGTAATATTACTTTATTCACATAATTGTATGACTATTCTCGTTGTGACTTTTTTCTTGTAATATTACGACATAATTCTCGTTATTTTACGACTTTTTTCTCGAAACAGAAGAAAAAACAAATCTCTAACCTGGCCCTAATAGTCCGTCAGAGTTGCAGTAACTCAGTTCTGTTTTTTACCAGTTGTCTTAGGCAGGGGCGGATTTAGGAAATGTGGGGCCCTAGACAAAGACAGGCAGGGGTGCCTTTGAATTGAGAAGGCAACACATAAAACAGACCCATTCTGCAGATAGAGAAATGTTAATAGAATAGACGTCCATTATCTGTTCTAGGTTTTGTCCCTCTCTTCTTGTCCCTTTTCTTCTTGTTTTCCTCTCTATATTTTGTGCTCAGCTGACTTTTTATGCTGTCCCAAAAGCAATGAAAGATTTTTTTTCCAAGCACTAAGCTCACTTAGCTGATTGCTCCTTCCTGTGTTTCCAAGAAGGCAAAAGTAAATAACCCAGTCCTTCTTTTCACTGTAGACAAGCCATGATCTGCTTATCTGTTCTCCATTTTTCATTTGGATGTAATAATAGCTGCATGAATCATGACAGCAGACAAGATAGAGGAGAGCAGGAGGCAGGGTTACCAATCTAGTTGCTCTGGAGAGCAGAGTTTGCTGCTTTTAGATGTTGTCTCTAAGGCCTCTAGTAGCATATTATGAGCGTTCTGACGGCAATTTAGAGAAATTTATATATATTTTTTTATCAAAAACATAATTAATGTGATCAAATAAGGGATAGCTGTATGAACCATACATGTAAATAAAGTTTTATGGGGCCCCCAGGAACTTGGGGCCCTAGGCAACTGCCTAGTATTGCCTAATGGTAAATCCCCCCTAGTCTTAGGTGTTGATAGCTGTAGGCAGGAAGGATCGTCTGACATTCTGTTGTTTAAAACTCATGAAGAGGATGTTCACTGTTGTCCATAATGTTCTTTTTAGTTAAATCATCTCCAGAGGTTCTAGAGAAGTTCTAGAACAGAGTCGGCCCTCTTTATCAGCTTGTTGGCTTCACCAACAGATGATGGCATCTATCAGGAAAAACTGATCTTCACAACAGACTTATAGAAGATATGTAGCATGTTGCTGCAAACACTGAAGGACCTAAGCTTCACAGTCTGCTCTGTACTTCTTGTGGAGCTTCACAATCTGACTCCAGTCTAGTTTGTTGTCCAGGTGAACAGCAAGGATTTATATTCCTCCACCTCCACTTCTTCTCCCATGATGTTAACAGGATGTAACTCGTTCCTGTTTCTTCTCAAATCTACAATCATCTTCCTTGTTCTGCTGACATTCAGGATTAGATGTTTGTTATCTTATTGTTATTGTTGATATCACTCCCAGGATATCCTGATTGTTCTGTCTGACCTGATGAATGTTAAACTTCCTACATGATGAACTCTGCCTATTTTCGGAATTTAGTGTCAGTGATATTTGGTATTTCCACACTTTTCCCCTTCTGGGAGTTAAGTTGCACGAAAACTCTTCTTTCCAACTAGTTTGGGATGCATAATTCAGAGGCGAACCGTTTGCACTTCCAGCTCCATAACACAGAGCAAGGGTCCATCCATAAACTACAGGGCAGTTCGGACACTTCGGCTAAAGCGGAAGTGCGTCAGCAGTCACCATAAACACCGCTGTCTGAAAAGTGCTGGCAGTAAGGAAGGAAGGAAGCAGGGTACCTCTCGGCGCCCATTTAATTAGCATAGGGACCTATTGGCTTTCCTATCCGTCCCTTCGGAGCTATGCTGTTTCCAGCAATCCTTTAGGTGAAAGGACGTGTAGACACAGCTCACCTCATAGATGTTAACTAAAATACATTATCACTTCATGTGCACTTTGTGTTACACACGCTAATGTACAAACCTTTATCTGTTTGGGGTTTTATGGTGGAGAAATTCAGATGTTCGCAACATTTCTGTAATTTTTTTTGTAGTTTTTTTTTTTTTTTTTTTGTAGTCCTAATTTGACTTAACATCATCCATGTGCGTTTCTGTTGCAAGATGACATCCGTAAGTCTGTCAGGATTCATTAGAGCAGTCTGAAATTCCTTTCATTCCAATAACAGCGTTCTTAGAGCTACAATTAGCAATATTTGGATGGAGAGATTGATTAATCATCTGGTTAACTGAGCTGGATAAAGGAAAACTAGTCAGGGTTTTTACTATCTGGCATTGATTCACTGTATTTAATCATTGTTCTTCTTCATTATTGTCTCAGTAGACAGTAAATGAGTAAAAGAAAAGGGAACACAGAGATCAATAATCTGTCAAACTAACGAGCCATTTTGAAGGCCAACCAATGTGTAAATAATAGAAGGATTATTTATAGAAGCAAATCCCCTACATCTTTACTTTGGCTGAAGATCAAACCAGTTAAACTGCACTGGCACCTGTAACCATGTAGGTTACTTTCACTGAGGTAGTGGACTCTATATATCAGCTGAAATAAGTGAAAGTTGCATATATATAACCCTAACCCTGGATGTTCAACTAACCTGGACTGGAATCATAACTTTGATGGTTTTTTTTTACCTACATGCTGGAGGTTGAGTTCTTCCATAGTGATGGTGATGCTTTTAAGAATATATATATATATATTTTTTCATCTTGTGAAACCTGTGATGTAGTTTGCAGGAGCAGCTGCTTATCAACTACTAAAAGGAAGAGGTTAGATAAGCTTATCAGGATGGCCAGCAGTGTCATAGACGAGGTAGGAAGTTTCTTCCGGATTGCGTTTTATTCTGGGATTTTTCCATTGTTTTTCCAGCCGGAAGAAACTTGGAAGGTCAAATTAACTGGAGAGTTTTATTTCTTTTGGTGAATATTTTCCTTCAGCACACTGCAAAAAAATATTTAGAAATAAGTTTTAAAAATTCTTAAATTAAGTGTATTTAGCCTCAATTTGAGCAGGTAAATAAGATTATCTGCCAACGGAATGATGATTTTTACTCTTGAAATTAGATAATTATATAATATGCACTTGAAAAAAAAGGATGCAGTTGTTTTCTCTTATCTTAAATGCAAATTGTCTTGTTCCATTTGCAAAGTGTCTCGCTTTTCTCCCCAATTAAAAAAAAAAGACTTATTTTATGAAATAATGACTTATTGAGATTTAATTTTTTTGCAGTGCAGTCCGAAATCCAGGAATAACCTTGAGGTGGGGTTCGATATCTATAAACCAGGGTGGTTGGGGGCCATGAATAGCAGAAGAAATTAAAGAAAGAAAGCCAGCTGGTGAAATCTGAGTGTACGAGAAAGCGTTTTCCTCCATGTGACCAATAGTTATTTATATAGATTTAGTATTACATGCTCTTAATATATTATATGAATGAAAAGTGTATTTACCCTTAGTTTGAGTAGGTAAATAAGATGATTTGCCAATGAAGTTGGTATTTCTCCTAAATAGATAATATACACTTGAAATAAGACAATGCAATTTTGCTTCCTTATTTTAAATGTAAATTGTCTTGTTCCATTGGCAAAGTGTAAATGCATTTATTTTAAGAAAAACTAACTTATTTAGATTTCATTTTTTGCAGTGCATAAACATTTCTCCTTATCTAGCATGGCTGATATAGAGAGTTAACTTTTAAATAGAAGTCTCCCAGTTCTCCAAAATAGGATCTATTACCAGGACTTTCTTCCCAGTTTCTTCCACTTGTCCAGAAGAAACCCGGAAGAAACTCACCCCTGGTCATGGACATAGTGCAGGTGGTGGGAGACAGACCAACTCTTAAAAAAATAAAATCCCTGTTTTTCCATTATCTCTCCCTTCATGCATAATATTGTTGCAGAGCCAAAGACCTCCTTCAGGATTTCACAGGTCATTCCTCTCAGTGGCTGTTAGACTTTATAATCACCATTGCTCCTGACAAACTTGATACGATCTTAACTTCATTTATATTAGGTCTGTTTATATTATTGTTGTTTTTGTTTTAAAACGGTATACCGTTCTGTGAATCTCCATTGCCTTTTAGTTTGCTGCTTGTTCAGCTGGATTTCACAAACAAGAAAATGTTTGCTGACAGGGATGTTTGCTGTTCTGATCAAAGTTGATTCATCAGTCAGTTGTCAGAGTTTTTTCTGCTCACTCAATCTTGTGTTTTTGTGTTTTATTTCCTTTCCCTCCAGGTGGTTACTACCTGACCAGCGCTTACGGCGCCATGGCCCTCATCAAGAACTTCCAGGAGGAGCAGGCGGCCCAAATTCTGAGCTCTGAGGCCAGGAACACCCTGCACCAGTGGCACCGCCGGCGAACGGCGCAGCGCTCCGTGCCCTCTGTGGACGACTTTCAGGTATCTCACCGGAGCTGAGCCCACCTTGATCATCCAGGCAGTGAGTCCAAGTTGTAACAGTTAAATCTGCATTCCTCTGAGTTGGAAAAGTGCATGAAAGAAGCTGTGTAGTTGCTCTACTTCACTAACACAGCACCAGCTTGAAAAGGGGATAAGTGTTTTGGTGAGCAGCACCCCCTAGTGGAACAACCGCATGCTGCTTTTCTATTTTATTTCTCCTGCATGAGAAATTTCTGTGAATGTCACTGATCTCTATTTATTCACTGGATTGCTGATACCCCGTTGGTGGTACATGGTGCTGTAAAGTCACCTGCCGCCATATTGGTACTCCCTAGTTAGACAGGTCGGAATGTAAACAGTACATAAGACCTTTAAAACAAAGATAAATTCATCACTATGACACACACTTGCAGTTTCATAGCATCAGTAGATTAATGTAATTTAAGGTCAAAATAGGCACATCATATTACATAGTTATTATGAAGTTTATAATCATTTAATATAACATATTAAACAAATTCATCATAACAAAATGAGTGCATTAATGGAACATAATAGTACTGTACTTAGATATTAAGAATGTACACACACGCCCCCACACACACTGTCTGATGATGTGCCAAAAGTGCTAAATTGATGATGTACATGTAATATATACATGTATTAATTACATTGTTATGGTAATTTCATTACATTCCAGGCATTTTAATGGCGTGATTCCGTGAAAGTGGGGTGGACCAAGATGGCGGCAGGTGACTTCAGTTTTTTCGGCTTATCACTAATTCAATGAATAGAGATCAGTGATGAATCGCAGCAGGCTTCAGCAATGGAAACTGCATCTATTCCAAAACCATTCTTAAAAAAAGCTTCCTGGATGAGAAGCGAAACGTCTTCAAACTTGTAAACAAAGTGCAGTGAATTGTTTTTTTTTTTTTTGGAATGACTATGACCTGGATGACTGAGAATTTTCAACAGCATATTTCAAAACCAGTTTGGAGGTTTTTAGGGTTATTTTACTGTTGGAACGGACCTGTGTGCAAAACTTTGACCAAAACTGTCCCCCTCAGGAACATTCCCAGAACTACTGCAATAAACTTAAAACAAGTGACAATTTTACATAAGTTATAAATGACAGATTATATCTGACAGAAAAAAAAGCAGCAAAGACGAATCAAATTTGGCTGCTTGGCTAAAATGAGAAGAAAGGCAAATTTAAGCCTTCAATGACATAATCTTGCCTCCACTGCCAAGCATGGTGGTGGTAGCAGCATGATGTGGGGAGGTTGTACTGCTAGTGGTGAACAGAATACATTTGCTTGTTTCTACAGAGCACAGACCCCACATCCTTCTACTTCATTTCTCCTTCAGAAGATAAACGTGATTTTTTTTTCCCTCCACAGAACTTTCTCCGGGTCGCTCTGCAGGAGGTGGGCTCAGGCTGCACGGCTAAAACCCTGCAGGTTCAGCCGTACAGCACAGCGGAGGAGGTCTGCTCCCTCTGCGCCTTTAAGTTCAAGGTACCGGATCCTGAGAACTACGCCCTGTTCCTGATCACCGAGGACATGAGCCAGCAGCTCGCTCCAGACACCCACCCCCAGCAGATCAAAGCAGAGCTGCACAGCCGGCCCCTTGCGCAGGTCTTCCACTTCGTCTACAGGAAGGTGGACAACCTCAACCTCTGCAGCCAGGCTGACATCAGCAATGGAAACTGCCTGCAGGCGGAATAGGGAGGCGCTGCAGTTATGGTTGGTCAGGGTATCTAGTAGGTATATAAAGGAAGATTAGAGGATGTCTGATGTTTTGTTTGGAGGGACTTTTGAGGAAGCTTGGAAAGATTCAGAAAGATTTATGCAGGTTTGTTCAAGATGGATATGAAGTTTGGAGATGCTCAGGCCTCCTCCTTTAATATGACTCAACTGCTGTCCCCACCATGCCTTATATATAAACTGAACACTGTATGTTACTGAGAGCGGGCCCCAGGTTGAAGCATTTGCAAGTGTTTATTTAACAGTTGAAATGATCTTTTGTAAAATAAAAAAAAACATGTTTTTATTGCTCCACAGCTGCAGGTCAGTTGTGGTTTATATTTCTGTGTATAATTATTTTTGTATTCCTTAAAAGATTCATAATTTGATATAATGTTGGTGTACTGGACTTAATTATGCCAGTTATTAAGGTCTTTTTGACACAACAATATTACAGTTATTTGCTGTGAGAAAGCTCGAAGGGTTTTTAATTGAAATAAAAAACATTCTGAATGAAACTGCCTCCAGACTCCTGCACTTGGTTCAAAGCAGATTATACTGTATTATAATATGTTAATTATCTTAGAAATACATGAAAACACATACAGGAAGTGGAGTCGATCCAGATTCCGGTCTGTGATCATTTACACTGTTTAATGATGACAAAGGATGCCAAATGAACTTTATGTGCTTCTGCTTGTAAATATAAATGCTGTATAAGCATCTTAAGTTACCATCTAAATAGCGGCTATTTAGCCGTGCTGCATGGAGGAGCAGCGTCACTTTTTTGATGTGTTCTAAAGGTGAGGATGTGATGCTAATAAATTGCAGCGCATTACTAAGATCGTTTGTATCAAACTAGCGATGAGCGCATTAGATGGAGAAGGATTTAGTGTATTTCTGCACTTCATGGAGCCACATTTTTTTCCCTCTGAGAGCGGCCATAACCTCTGATGTTAGCCTAGCTTTTAAACTTTTGGTTGCTCTCAGTTCAAATCAATTATAAATTATTAATCGAAATTCAGTTTAAATACAGCCCATCCAAGAAGATATAAACACACCGAAAGACAATACACAGACATTATACATGCTGGATGCTGAATTACACTAAACAAGGAGCCCTATGTCAGTTTACATATTTTATTTATCCTTTTTTTATACTCAGTAATAAAATAGGTTCCTGCTCTGTTATACTTACTATGTCCAGTTAAGTAATATTTTAAAAAACAAATATTTCTTTTTTTAATACATTCTATCTGTCCGTCTATTTAGGTATCTAACCAGGTTGCTAGTTCTCTATAAAACAAGTACAAATCTTAATTATTTTTTTAATTATCATTGACTTTCATTTACAAATTCAAATGTAATGAATTTACCTCATTTTGACATAGATATACATAACAAAGAACAATAACATTTTGTTATTACAATAATCAATAAGCTGAAGTCATTGACAACTTTATTATTTTGGAGTTACTCTCCTCGATCGTCTGGGAAACTGTTTACCATGAGATTGGAGCATGCAGCTTTCTGCGTTGTGTCAGAGCAGCTAATGCTGAGTCCTGTGCCGGTTTTAGGTGTGCATTATTATGGTAAAGATTTAGTATCTGGTAGTTTCCTAATAGTATTAGGTAAATGGTAAAACTTGTGATGTCATGCAGTGCATTGAAACCTGCTCTGTTGGAGTAATCAGTAGATTACCAGGGCACTCCGCTTCTCTGCATTATTCACTTGATTGTTGCTGAAGTTTTTTTTTGTTTTCTCCAATCGTCCTGGTAACTGATGCAGCCTGAGCTTTGCGTTGAACCTCAACCCACAGCCTTCCCTGGATTAACAGCTACATTATATCTTTAGTTAACTGAGTTATATCCTGTTGTGGAGGTCTATATTTTGAGTTTCTTTGTCCTGATGCCGATCGCTGTTTAGTCAGATTTTTTTATCCCTTTTTTCTTCTTTCACATTGATTTTATTTGATTGCTACATTAAGGTTAAACTGAATATGAACCATAAGACTTGGTAAAGTTTAAACCACACTAATGGATTAATAAAAATGTGATTAATGTTTATTAAATATGTTTGATTTCACAGCAACCTATCTCTTTATTTTGATACAATCTCCAGGAGTTATATCAAGAATAATGTCTGTCACCACAATTCGCCAGTGGTATAAGTTCTAATCATCAACTGAGGGAGTTCAAGTCACTAAATTCCCAGTTATTAGAAGAATATTTAATAATAACTATAACAACTTTATTTTCAGTGCTTAGAGGAACCTTAACGTTTTTTATTTTTAACTGAAATACAGATTCAAACATTTATTAAACCAAAGTAAATAAAGCATGGGACAGCCATATCTGTCCTGGATGCTAAAACTACACACATCTTATTATCTATCTCTATATTAACATTGATGTATTTTCCATTCATTGCTATGGCCCTACATTAGACCCTAAACATGATTAGTTAACACCTAAAACTAAACTGAAATCCCACCTTGCCCCTAAACCTAACACCTAACTGTACAGTATATGTGAGGAAAGTGGGCATCCCACTGTATTGAATGTAACAACCCCTCTGTGTGGTGCTACCACCACCATGCTTTGTCTCAGTGGACATTTCAATGATAGAAGTGAACGTAACGGATTACATTTTTTCTGCTACAAAATGCAGAGAAACTGTGAATTTGCGTTGTCATTAAAGTTGTTTCGTATTTTCATTTTCCTTTTATAGGTGACTTATTTCTACAAACTGAAATAAAAAAAAATGGCTTGTCAGCCGGCACTTGTAAATCTATATAGTATATGGATGCAACCGATAAAAATTCACAGATTAACTTCTTTTTTATCCGGATGCTATGGAGATCTGAGCTTGCCGGGGACCTCACAGAGCTGCTTGCGCTCTGCCTGTCTGTAATTCAGCTACAAGCTAGCTGTGCGGCTCCTGCTCTCCCCAAAACGTGTTGGGATTGCTTTGGTTCATGTAAGTTTTTTGTTGCTTTAATTTAGTTTCGTCTTTGCTCCAACACAAATGGCTGTAGTATGGCAAGTCTTTTATGACCTTCACTTTACCACGTTTACGACTAAAGGTAGTTGAAACTGAAACATTTAGCTGACGTTGCCCATTATAGCACGTGAAGCAGGGCTCAAAATTAATTTGATCGTTATTTTAAAAATACAACAACAAAGACACCATCTTAATAAGAGTCATTTGATCTGGTTTCCTATCTTATAATTTAATATAAACGTGAATATGTTTTAACAAACGTTACTTTAAAACAGGCATATCAAAGTCCTAATAATGTAATAAGTATTTTTAGGACAGTATCTCTTCACGTTACAGCACTTACCCCGCATAATAACACACATTTTTTAGTAGAATTAAGTATTATCAGATATAATGAATTATTTATATTAGATTGATATTGTTTTATGTAAAGCTGTCATAAATATTTACATCTGTGGGCTTCCATATTTGAGCTGGTTTTGCTTAGACCGAGGTGAAAGTAATAAAACATATTCTCAGCTTTGGATGATGATCAAAACATTTCCTTGGATCTATTTCTTCTAAAACTATGATGCCAAAAAGGAAATGTTTGGATGAAAAACACCTGCTTCTATAAGATTTAGGAGGGAACATGGCATGAAGTTTATTAAGCATAACTGTTTGATTCCCTGAAAGATGCAACTGTTGATGTGCATCAGTCTTGGAAAGGTTAAAGTCTAACACCTGCCTGAATCTTTTAGATAAACCCCTTTTCCATAACGTCTGAATCAAATGCTAATGATGGTTAATGAGGCATCTTGAAGCCAAACTGTATTGATGCTGCATTGATACTGTCTCGCACAATACTGACACCTGCTGGACATTTAAAGACACTGCAGTCAGCTGATTTGACATACTAAACTGAATTGATTTCATGACCTAGTAAATGATATAATTTAAGTTATTGTAGGTTATATTGTATTATTTCATATCTGTGTTTAAATTGAAAATATCCTTGATAGTTTTAGACTCAGCCAATAAATAATGTAAACGTATAAGGTAAAAATTTAGGGGGAAATGTGAATGAGGATGTTTGTGGATTAGGTTTTTAAAAACAATTTTTAAACAATAAGTACAGTAAAAACAGTAAATAAACTAAGAGTCAATTTGAAATTAACTTAAATTCAGATAGTTTGAGTGATAACTGAGAGGGAAATAATGACACAAGGAGAAAATTTAGATAAAAACGCAGCGGCTGAAACATTCCTATTCCTTTTAGGCAGTGGTGTCAAAAGTACAGACATTTGTTACTTAAGTAGAGGTATAGATACTGCAGCTTAAAAACACTCTGATAAAAGTTGAAGTATTAACTTGACCTCTTTACTCAAGTAAAAGTGAAAAAGTATGTGCTCCAAAAACTACTTAAAGTATAAAAGTATAAAGTAACCTTTAAAAAAACAGCCAGACGCCACTATATGAATTGAAAGCTTAATTTTTCGACTATTTTGAAAAATTCTTTGAGATAGGGCCAAGGATGAGGGAGGTCTTGTTGGTCTCCGTCTCCATCTCCCGATACGCTCTCGCCTGTGTCCGACCTTTCAGACATTTCAACATCTTTTTTTTTTAATCCGACATTGTAGCATGGCTTAGACAATTCACGCTTCCTGCTTACTTCTGATGATTTCCTTTAGCTAACCAATGACTGTTTGTGTTATATGACTCATGCAGCTTTCATGCCTGCAAAATGCTTTACAGCGGAGGTCTTCAACAGGGGGTCCGCGAACCCTAGGGGGTCTACAGAGGTACTGCATGGAGGTCGCAAAAGTTTTTTATATTCCTCCCTGCAATTTTTTTCCACTAATTTAGATGTCTTTAAATACACATTAACATGAATTCAACACACTGTAGTAAACATAATTTCAGTCATCAATGCACACATTCAGTACCATACAGGAGCTCTTTCAAACTGGGCACCGTTTCATTCACAACACCTGTCCCATCAACCAGGAATCAGAATCAGATATATTTTAATAATCCCAGGGAGAAATTACTTTCATTACATGACTCCATCTGTAATAGAGTGATTCTAGGACCAGGTTGATACAATATATATATAATTATGGGGTCCCTGCTCCATCTCAACATCAGTTTGGGGGTCCTTGGCCTGGAAAACATTGAAGACCCCTGCTTTAGAGTTTTAAAAGAAAAAAGAAAAATCAATCCTTTTTTAAGAGAAAAAAGCTTTTATATCCCCAGAAGCATCATAACCACCTCTTGATTTAGATGTTCCAATATCAATTATCTACAGATGTTAATGATGTAATCTAGCCATCAATTCAATCTTGTTGCATTTATAAATTGTAATCACAGTTATGGAGTTAGTTTAGTTATTGTTTAGTCAAAATTAATTCCATAATAGAGATGGAACCTGGAAATTGTGATGATCTAAGAGCATTCTGCACTGTATCTGTTATTTGTTTCTGCCTTACTCTGTCTAATTTCATCAGCAATAGCCTGAACATCATCCTTTGGATTA